GGGTTATTATTTCATTAACATCCAGCTCGCCCATCAGACCATAAACCTCTGAAGGCATGGAACATGCTTGCTGTGCTCACCGTTTCATCGCAAGAGTCTAGCACAGTGTCTAGAATGCCCTCCACAAACGTTTGATGAATGATAAGCAAATGAATGAATGTGTGTCCAGGACGACACTGGAATAAAAAGTGCCTCTATCATGGAAAGTTCTAAGGAAGGGTCTAGTGTCTTTGGGAAGCCATGTCCACCACCCAAGGCCCTGAGCCACTAAGATTGGCCCAGGACTTCTGGTCAACTTCTATGGCAGAAGAAGGTCCACTGGCCAAGACCTCAAAATCAAAGACCTATAAGATGCCAAATCTTGTAACCTGGGCAGAAAAAGAGAGGCTTGTCCCATAGTCGACCCTGCAACAGCAAAGGCATTTGTGAACCGAGAAAAGAGAAGCCAAGAAGGAAAACGTCACATGCCTGGGACACAAGCGCCCTCCCTCCCTCCTTCTTTAACGTGACAGGGAGCACCTTTTACATCCAGCTGATTATGTTTAACCACAGGCTTTTTGTCCTCGCCTTATAATTACTGCCTTTTTAAACCCAGTCGCAAAATTAATTGCCCCTTAATGAAGCAGGGTAGCAATTAAGGGCAGCCAACCTTGTGAGGAAGGAGAAACACACATGTGTTTGAGGTGTATCGTCAGGAGCCCGACTTTGGAGGCATCGTCATTACAGTGGTAATTATTTTCCAAGGCTGCGTGACACCTCCTTAGACCCGATCAGAGCTGCCAGACTCTGGAGAAACCCATTGATCCTTCAGAGTTAATTAGAGTCCAATTTGGAGCTTCCTGTCTCCCGCACTGGAGAGGAAAGACAATTTATTCTTGCTCGATGCCCACTAGGTCCGCTGAGGACAAGGGGCCTTCCCGGGAAGCCACGGCACTGCATATCAGCTTCTCTCCCATCAACACTGCTCCTAAGGTACCAATGTGCAGATGCTATAGGACCTCAAAGCTGCAGGCAGAGCCCACAGACCTCCACCGGATGAGGCACTCCATGTAGAAGGAGGCACACCTGTGTTCTCAGCCTTGTAGTAAGGCAGCCACATCAGTTTCTTATAGGCAAGCGGCCAGGCCACATTCGTTGGGCACCCTGTCACCCTTTAGCAGAGCTAATGACCTTAGACGGCTGAGAAACAGAGGGAGATGAATACACCTGCATACTCTTAGATAGTTTGTCCCTGTCATCTTCTGGGCTCTGGAATAATGCTCATGTCTCAAAGTTGAAGATAATAATGATAATAACAACAACAACGGTAACAATAACATCTCAAGCATATTGAATATCTACTACATGCCAGGCACTTTAATTCTTACAACAACCCCATGAGGAATACACTGTCACTCCATTTTGCAGCACAGAAGGAACTGAGGCACAGAGAAGTTGAGTCACTCTTCCAAGCACACACAGCTAAGTGGCAGAACCAGAACACAAACCCAGGCATTTGCTCCTAACCACAACACACATTCCCTCTGGAGCACAGGCTGGTGGCGCTGCAAACAACACCGACGCAGCGGTTGGCCCAGGATCCTGCTAACTAAGGGGAGTTTCCATCTTCAGGACAAGGGGATCTGCTGCCCTGATGGAGCCTGGTGCACCCCAGGATTCTGCCAGCTGCAGGGCTTTAATCACTTCATTTTCCCTGGTGCGATTTGATGACAACGGCTTGCAGGTCAAGGTCCTCCACGAGCCATCCCCCGCCAGCCTCCTGCCCTTCACATGCCCTCCTCTGCTGCCCACCTGCTTGGATCACCCAGCTCCTCCTGCCTCCACGGACCCCTGCACCACTTTCTCCAACCGGGATGCTCTCCTCGCTTCTCTCCACATTTGTAAGTACTTCCAAACCCTCCGTGTCTTATGACACCTTTGCCAAACACCCAGCTCATGGAGACCTCTTCCTCCTTGAAACCTCTATAGCCCTGAGTTTTCTCAGGCCTTCCTTGGCACATGAAGTTGCCAAGCTGGCTGGCATATATAGAGATGCATTTGGTAAATGCATGATACTAGTACACTATCTTTTCATGCAACAGAATCCATGAGCTGCCACTTACTAGCTGTGTGACCATAGGCATGTTGCTTAGCCTCTTTGTGCCTAGTGTCCTTGTCTATACAATGGAGATAATGATTATGCCTACTTCGTAGAGCTGTTGGCAGTTAATACATGGATACTCCTTAGCCTAGTGCCTGGCTCATAGAAAGTGCTCAATAAATGTCAGGTGTTGTTATTACACAGCTCCTTGAGGATGGAACCACGTCTGATGCTCATGTGCAAGTATGACTTGCGAGCACGTATCTATTTGTGGACTAGTTTGACAGTACCTGGCCCTCTGCACCTGTCTTTCTAACCTGCTTTGGAGGTGCCATGGTGGGAGTGTGGCGAGACCTGGAGCCTCCTGCTTCTTAGTGGAGGGTCCAGCCTGCCCCAACTCCAGTGTCCCTGACCTGGGACACCTAAGACCTGGAGTCTTCCTGATGCTGACTCACCATACATCCAGCCTGGGCAAGCAGAGCTATGTGCCTTTCCCTCTGCCCCCAACAGAGCTAGTGTTCTGCACTCCTGAAGTGAAAAGGGAGCCCCTGCATGTCTTAGAGAAAGATCCTAAGCTGATATATCCCTGTCTATTTTTGTAGGTCAGAGTGCAACAGGAAGAGATGTGGGTTAGCAGCTTTGGAAGCCAAACATCGTATCTCCTTGCACCCAGATTCCAGTCTATGATACTCCTCCTTCCATGTAGCTCCAAGTTCCGGGGACTTCCAGAGTCTTCCAAGCCTCAGTCACTATAGCTGCTTATGTTTGGACTCAGAATCACTCAGGTATGTTTAGATATCACTGGAAAACCACAGTCGGTTTTGAAAAACAGACGATCCCAGCAGCCAGCGCTGGGCCAGTATTTAACCAACTTAACTTTGCAAAATGCTCCAACTACACACACGCTCGGGCTGCTGCTCAGCTTCTCTTTTTAAAAGGCCAGAGAGGAAATAAAAATGAATGATGACAAAACGTCCACACGGGTAGAAAAACAGAATAAAGCTCCGGGGCAGGAACTGACACAATTTAATTAACTATTTGGAATAAACATGTTTGGTGCCACTCCCAGAGCTGTTTGTTTGCCTTCACAAAATAATGCTCTTAATAAGTCTGAGATTAAACCTTCTAGAGATTAATTAAATGCAACACCTTGACTTGAAATGTTAGGAATGGCCAAGAACGCAGAATATTTTCTTTGCACATTGTTCAGTGGCTGTTGTCGTCTTGCATAAACAGTTCCCAACCTCTGTTATGTGTTGTATAAAAATTGTCACTACCTGTCATTTGGCATTGGTGCTTTATATAAAATGCTTATTTTTTAAATAGTCTAATAAGCGCTTTACAAGGAAACAGGATGGATCAACTTTAAACTGTGAGGGTAGCAGAGCTGAGATTTAATTACATCCTGCAAGTTGTAAGTTGCTCTCCCAGGCAGATCAATGATGTTTGTGACTAATAGTCTCATTTTAAAAAATCAAAATAATCATAATATCTGCCATTTGTTGGAAAGCTACTATATCCCAGACACTGCACTCACTGTATATCTACTATTCACAAAGTCCTTTAAAGGAGTATCATCATCCCCATTTTATAGAGAAGAAAACTGAGGATCAGAGAGGTTACATGATCTGCCAAAAGCTAAGCAGCTGGTAAGTGGAGGAAGCTGGAATTTGAAGCCAGATCTCTCTAACTCTAAAAAGATCACGGCCGCCAGCCACCTAGCCTCCTAAAACAGAAGAAAGAAACGTAGCCTGGGAAATTCTAATCACACACTAATTGCATGAGAAATTAAGAGGAAATGATACTAACAGATTTTATTTGATTGCTTATAGGAAGGCATTTTGTACTCAATGATTGTTTGGGGGTAAAATCATTGTAAATGGTCTTGTTAGCAAAAGACATAGCCTAACCTTACAAAGGAATACAACAAGGGCTCTTTTTGGTCATGTGGTAAAACTCCTTTATTAATTCCAGCTCCAAAATTCTGTTCCTGTTATCCACATTGCAGTCTGTGCTTCCTTACGCGAGTTCTGCAATTACTGACTTTTCAGCCTATCAGTAGGAGACCCACACCCCAGAGACCCCTGGTGCACCCTCTAGTGGCTATCGGCACAATCTGTAGAATCAAAGAAACTGGGAGCTGAAAGAGGCCACCATTTAACTACTTTTGCTTGTGCCTGTGAAAGTGAAGAGGTGCAAATTGTCTGATATTGCGCAACGTGAAAGATCAAGGGCATAAATAATATGAAGAGATTTTTAAAATCTGGTTATGCAATGGTGTCCCAAACTAGGAAGGTCTTGAGGTACATACTTAATATCAAATTCCAACAGATGCTTCTCTCCTGAGTCAGGAATGATCAATATCAGATGGTCCTACTTCAACTGGAATCTGAGCTGTAGGTACAATGGGGTATTGGACGGCCACAGCAGGCCAGACAGGAGTCCCTGTACGCCAAGGACAGTGCCAAGTGCTTTAACTGCATATCTCATTTAACCCTCATAATTATCATTCCCGTTTCACAGATGAGGAAACTGAGGCTCTGTGAGATAAAGTAACTCACCAGGATCATGCAGCAGCCAATGAGTGGGATTCCAACCCTGGCAGTTAGACACCAAAACCAGGTTCTTCTTCGTAACATTTTGATATGCAATTGGATATTGTAAATATTCCTTATACTAGTAACAAATAAACAAATAATTGGTTTCTGTTTTATAAAGACTTCTGCAAATTAGCAAGGGATTTTCTGACGTTTTTCCCCCATATCCTGTTGTATTCAAGACCTCAAAGTTAATTACTACACCAGACACTCCACAGCAGAGATAAACATCAGGGCCCCTTGCCTTGTGTGTCTGCCATTATGATCGGGTCCAGGCAAGGCCCGCAAACGGCTAATGAGGTTAAATATAAAGTGAGATAAAGATAAAGCTGTGAGGCTGTGCAGGTTCTCAGGGACAAGCAGACGACACTTGAGTCTAAACAAAAGTCTAAATAGGGAAAGAAAAATGGCCTGGGTCCCAGGCTGAGATTGAGGAACAATATCCCCTCCTACTTCACACACACACACAAACACACGCATACACATACAAACACACACACAACACACACCTCACACCTCTCCCTGTCTCTCTCTCTCACACACACTTACTTTTTCTCACATGCACACCTATCTCACATAGGGATGTAGGGATTTGGGTGGAGCAGCCACTCTGGCACCTCTATGCCTTACGGAGGCACCAGGATGTAGATGGTGGGAGTGCTGGCTTGGGAATCAGGTAACCTGGCTTCTGTTCTTTGTCATTACTAAAGCACTGTGACCTTGAACAAGAGCTCCCATCTGAATAAGAGAGGTCCTATCTACCCGTCTCCAAAGGACCTGGGGATGTAGAGCAGCTTCCAGCTATCACTCTGTAAATTACCTGTCATTCTTAAAGGACCACCCTTGCGTGTGGCTTTGGGAATCAGCAAATTATAGTCATGCCAGAGGTGCTGGAAACATCTACTGAAAGTAAGGCTCCAGCAACTTGGAGAAAGCAAAACTCAAACCTTTCCTTCCCCCGAGAGAGGGCTCCTAAGCATTTTGCAGCTGGACTTCCAGATGTGAGGGGTCCAGCAGTGGAAGAAACCCAGCAACACAACTTGGGTCTTGGGAGCCAGAAGGAAGGGCAGGAATCAGGACTGAGAGTGAGGGAGAAAAGCTAAGTGTAAGGGACACTGGGATCAATGTTTCAAATGGAAGCAGCAATCATCTCCTCCTTCCGACTGAGCAGTGGCTCCTGGCCTGGCCATGGTGCCATCTCTCTCAGGACAGCAGGTGGCCATTTCACTAAATGTACCATTTACAGCCCTCGGCTGCCTGGGAGTGTACTTCCCTCCGCCACGCAGGGCCCTGCTTCCCCCTTTCCTGGGGTCAAACAAACCTCCTGCCCTCTTTTCTGAGAGTGCCCTGAGCTTGCTCCATCCATACATAGTACCACTGGAACCAGGTTCCAATGGCCCGTCACACTGAAGGTGTGGTGCTCCAGAGAGTTAATTCTCTTTAAAAGTCCGTCTGGAATAACAGCTTTGGCAAGAGGAAAATCAAGGCAGGGACCCAGATGAGCTTCCTCTGGGAGGTACAGTGTGTAGTGTCTGAGCAATTTGTCACCCCTGGCAGAAGGGGGCTGGCCAGGATTTCACTTGGCATCAGTGTCATCCTTCTTGGGAACTTTATTTAGTCAGAAGACAAGATTATTTGCTACTAACTTCCCAGGTCCATGATCAAGAGCCAGCCAGAGAGCCCAGGGTAAGGTGCTCCGCTCTGCTCCTTCTAGGCTCTGAAGGGCTCAGTCCTCACAGGGTATGTGGGCACACGGCTCAGTGTCAGGAAAAGGGTGAGAAAGAGGCAGAAGAGCAAAGTGGTTAAGGGCATGGACTTGGGAGAAGCCTGGGTCTGGGTTCAAATCCTGCCCATAGCTCTTATAAGCTGAGTGACCTTATTCAATCTTTCTGTGTCTTAGTTTTCTTATCTATAAAACAGGGATAATCAGAGCACCTGTCTCAGGGTGTTGTTCAAAGAGCAGAGGAGATAAAACATGTATAACAGCACAAGATGAGATCTCAATACTTGTTGTTGCCACCATTACTATTATTATTATTTTATTTTTATTATTATTATTACTGAAAGGTCAGCAGACTGTGGTTCCCCTGGCCGAGTCTTCTCATTTCATTCTGTTATTCCCGCCTCTCCACGGGAAGGTCAATTTCACTGATTTCTGGTGAGAATAGAACTAGGGCGAGTAGTGCTAGGAATAGGGTCTTCTCGTCTTATTGTGCTATTCCCGCCTCTTCACGGGAAGGTCAATTTCACAGATTAAAAGTAATCGGTGGACCAAGGGAGGCTGTGTGTTAGTGGTATAAAGAGCCCCAGGTTTGAAGTCAGGGGGCTGTGGCTGGAATGCCTGCTCAGTAACTTTGTGTACACATTCATTTAAACGGGGCAAATTCAACTACCTGCATTTGTCACAGAGAAGAAAGAGAGCAAGTCAACAACGGGAACAGTTAGCTGCCGCACCACCCAGAAGGCGATGCCCCGGGCGAGCGTGGAAGGGGAGAGTCTAGCCTGCCGCCCCCTGGGCAGCCTCAGCTCCCCACATGCTTCTCCTGCCTGTGCATCTCAGCACGCTGGGTATTAAGAAACTCTCCTTTTTTCCTAAAATATGACCTCTAAATGCAGGTCAACTCCCTCAGCTGGCAGTCCACTGAAGAAACTGACCACTTCCAACTCTGGAGGGCAACTGGCCGAGCACAGCTCTCGGGGTGGGGGTAGGGGATGATGTGAGTTATTTTTCAGGGTAATTCTGACTATACATAATTTTTCGCCTTACGTCCTGAGTGTGGGGGCCGAGAGTCTGGATGCAGGGGCTGAGGGTCTCCTGCACAACTGTCTGGACATGTGACGTGAACCTCAAGACCCTCACCAGAAAAGGAGGGGCAATAAGCCTGACCAGTGTATTCAGTGCTCTCAATGATATAAAATCCATCTACGTGTTTTATAAACCACAGTCACAAATATGGAGAATAATTATTTCCTTCCCTGACACTGGAGGTGTCCTAGTCTCAGGCGAAACAGAAGGGGTGGGGCGGCTATGATTACAGTCATCCCCTGTCCCCCACGTGTCACATTCCCAGAGCACTTTCACCCTGACCCCAGGGGAGCAGCCAGGGGGCCTCCCCCAAATTAGGTATTAGCCTGGTTTAGCTGTGAGCCATTCTCAGCTTCATGGTCTCCAGAAGGGTAGCACTTTCCCTTTTTCAGGTTAAAAGAATTCTAAAAATACCTTCAGAAGGTGCCAAGGTCCCCACAGCCTTCCCTGCTCTGATTTCAATCCAGCTCACATCTCCTATGGCTTGCGTGTCTGGAGAAGACATCACTTCTGCTGATGTGGGCCAGATTTCAGAACCCACAGCTGACTATCGACAAGTTGCCTCAAATCAAGTTACATGGCACACGCCTCACTCCATCTGGGCCCAGGAGGCGGGCAGGAGGACCCCCAACCCCGCCTTGACTCAAAGCAAGTTTCCAGTATTTGGCAAATGTACAAACAATAACTTTTCTCTCCCTGAACAACTCCTAAAGTTCAAAAACTTCATATCCAACTTCCAGACTTTACAAAGCAATGGAAATTATATCGGGTAGTTTACAGGCCCCTTTGTAGAATTCCCATTCTCTCAACAAATATTATATCCTGTAAACTGTGGCAGCAGACAGTGTTTTATTTGAGTGAGCGGCTAGGTGGTATTGCAACACCCAAGTCTGCTGTTTTCCCATCTCCGCTAACAGACTGCCAGACAATATTCAGATACTTGGCATTTTTTTTTGGAAACGCCCAGGCCTGGATTTTCTCTTTGGCTCCAGGACAGGCTGTGTGTCAGGCACAGCCTGCTTGCGTTCTGCCTGGGGGACTTGTCCTGAATCAATACCAGGAGTTAATTATCACTTGGGCAGAGAGGATCTGGGGATTTCGGCCTCACATGTCGGGACTCCCCATCATCCACATGGCTTTGACTCTGGTGCTAACCCCGACCTTTCAGCTCGACTTTTGCCTTTAGTCTCCATTTTGGACTCTGGTTCTGGTTATTGGCTCCAGATGTTTTCCTTTGCCCGACTCCATCAAGGTGAACTATGTGGCACCGAGTGCCTTCACTTGTGGATCCTGCCTCTGAACCCTACCCACCCAGCTGAAACCTCAACCAACTCCCCTGCTGCTGCCAGCCTTTCCAGATCTCTGGGTAACACTAACTCCTGACTTCTCCATCACCGTGTTCTGCTCCCATTCCTCCTAATTGTCCCTCCCCACGGTCACAGCTCCTTGGGATTGTCTGCGGCCATACCCTCCACTTCCTGGGTTCCGGCTGCTGCCATTACCTACAGCTGGGCATGACTCCGCCCCTTCCACTTATTCCTAGGGTTCTAGTTCTAGCCCCTGCCTGTCCGCCTCATCTCATTACCGGGAAGACGGCCATGCCCAGGTGTGTCCTGAGCGAGGATGCGTAGCGCTGGGGTCAGATTGCTGGCTTCAAATCCCAGCCCCAGAGCTTCGCTGGCTGTGCAACCTTGAATATGTTGCTCAGTCACTCTGTGCCTCAGTATCCTCTCTGTAAAATCAAGATAGCCTCATGGAGGTGTTGAGGGAATTAAATCTGATAATAAATAGAAAGGACAGCATGATGCTTGGTACCTTTTAGGTGCACAATAAATATTAGCTATTACACTAATTATGTGGTGCCAACTAATGTGGGAATTCTAAAATTTATTTTGAAATCTGTAGCACACTGAGAACGAAAATCAGAGAAAATGAACATGAATAATTGGAACATTTCTTTTAAACGTATAAGCTCACCAAGGCTTTTCTAAATTAGCCTTCAAAGCAATCTCAGAGCAGGCCATCTTTTGGACATATCTCATGGCTAAAAGAATGCTTTACTTAGGAAACTTAACAGAGGAAGTCATCTAAAAATCAGCTCTAAGAATCAAATAGGATGGGAAAGTTCAAGCCAGATGTTTTCGCCTACCAGCTTCAACCAAGACCTGGTTAAAGGAACTACAAAGAGCACCAGCTGGTGCAGTTTTTGGTAACCTAGTGTGGGGTGGCTGGTGTTTGCGCCTTTCAACCCTGTGTCTGTGAGTCAGATAAGGACCAATTTACAGAGCAGATCCACGTATTTGCCTGACAAAAGGACAATGTGCTCAAGTCTTCCCTATCAGTGCAGTCAGCTTTTGGAGGCTGCATTCCTACTCAGACAAAGCAAGACTGTTCCAACCACTGTCAACACCTCGGTGTCTGCAACTGATAGCGATCAGATCCTTTCTCCTGGCCCAAGTCACGTTTACATAATGCAACATTATGAACAATTTGGATCTGAAATTAATTTATTGAAAACCCAACGCCCCACAAGCTGCCAAAGGTATAAACTTTTGTCTTGGGTAAAATCAAATCACTGAAGCAAAATGATCCCTAAATGAGCAGAGATCTCAATTCTAATGTGGATACAGGGCTGCAAGTGAGAGAAGGTAGGGGGAAGATATGAACCGTAGTCTTCACATCAGTGGAATGAGACTGCACCCCTGTGTAACTTGGGGGACTTGACTCTTGGGGGAAACCCAAGGCAGAGCCCTGGGACTTTTTCTTTCCTTTAAAATAAGGGTGTGCAAGCGACATGGATCTGACTAAGATATCACTCTCCAATTTCCCAGGTGACAGATGCAAAAAAAAGGCATTGCCTTTTCTGAAGGCACAGAGGTGGGCACAGAGAAGGAGAGAGTTTGCTTGTTTACCTTGGTTACAAGGACCATCACGACTCCTTCTCTTCAAAGTGGTAAAACGCTCAACCTTGTCTATGGCAGCATTTCCTACACGATGCCTTCCCAGGACACCAGTCTCAAGCAACGCTCCATAACAAAATGGATCCATGACTGGTAAATTAGGGAGACACTGCACATTTTACAATGCACGTCAGCACATTAAAGGTTCTTAGAAGTCCCACAATAAAGAAATGTATTTAACTTATTTTAACCTAGTACTCCTCAAATGTTTTTGACCACAGAACTTTTTAATTTACTAGCCCATAGAAGCTTCAGGAAACATTCTGACAAATATGAAGCTTATTATTATAAGCTGCCCAGTTCATTCTTCTGACTGCTAAAGGGAAAACCAATGACTCTCATCCCACTTCATTCCCTCCAGACAAGGAGTGAGAAATCAATATGACAGTAAAGGGAAGCCCCTGAAAACATGGTTATGGCTAAGACAGACGCCTCACAGAAAGCCACAATGCACGAGCATCCATCCACACACACAAGGCTAAGCAACATCCCACTTAATGGCCTTTATGACCTGAATTGCAGATGCCCTGATTGAGTCCCACCCCTGATGGCTACTCTGACAAGTGTCCTTCTCAGCCTGTCAACCATCTTCCTGCTCCAGCAGCCTGATCCTGGGATGGGCAGGAGAAGAAGTATTCCCAGGTTGTGGAGATGGGAAGGCCCATCTGTGCCCCTTCTCTGCCCTGTTCTGGGCTGTTTCCTCCCCTTTAGAGTAGCTTTTCCTCAAGAGTTTGGTGGAGAGCATCTTTCATCCCATTTCTGATGGGCATCAGGCAGAATCTTTAAAAATAATCACTAGCGAATTTAAAGGTGGATTTATATATGAACAAACCATGGCCCAAACCACCAAATGGCTCAGGTCTGCCCTGTCAGGGCCATGGAGGTATCTGATAAAATGCTTAAAAAGCCATCTTAGAGGACTTCTGCTTCCAGGAAGATGGAGAAGATGGAGATACCTTTCTTTATTCCTCCACTGAGTTCAATTTAAAGCCTTGGACATGACATGAAACAAGTATCAGAAGACTCCAGAAGGTGGGGAGAAGAAGGAAGTCTGGCTAGGGACCTGGAACCTGAGCAATGATGCATTGGCAAGTTCCCTGGGTTTTCTTTTAGCCTCATATATCCCAGACCTGGTGCTGGTGAAGCCAGAAACCCCAATATGCCAATGGGCACATCCAAATAAAGCCTGCTCTCCTAGGCAAAGGAGCAGAAGAGAGGCAGCCTAGCAAACAGAAAAGTTCCAGACAATAACTGCTGTATTCCAGCCAAACACCACAGAAATATCTGCAGCCACATCTCCACCAGCATTGGCTAAGTGAGGAACCTGGACTTCCACCCTCATCAGAAACCCCAAACCCTTGCTGGGGCAGTATCAGAGAAGGCCAAGTTATCCCTGCTGAGTGGTAGTGAAATTCCTCCCCACAGTGGAGATCACGTGAGGAAACTGGTCTTCTAGACTCACCTGGTGGTAAGTAACCTCCTACACGACCTAACCAC